TATATATATATATATATTGCAAAACTATTCATCCTTTTGTTTGATTATCAAAGAGTCAGGCAAACATTTGTAATAGACAGGGAGCAGTTACAGCTGAAAAAGTCAACTTCCTTTGATAATTTTTTTTATCTATTATTCTTTGCAAAAACATTTCAGACTCAGATTTGAAGAATATCTCTAAAAGGAATTTTTAAATCTTGCCGCATATTTTTCATTAGGTTTGGATATAGACTTTGACGTGGTCATTGTAGCATAAACATGTAAGTACAGCATGCTTTAATCCAAACCAGTCCATTGAAGTTCTGGTTGTACGTTCAGGGATGTTATCCAGCTTTGAACACAGTCTAAAATCTAGTTATTTATACATTGCTGTTAACACCATGTTTTGGTAATAGTGTGTTTTTTGTATGTTCCTGACAATTTATTCGCTCCCTCTGTTAATGATGAGCTTGTGACAAACAAATTATTGTGCATCATATTGTTATTTAGCATTGGCTTTTTTCTTCAAAGGTTTTGTAAAGTAAATTTAGCTGGACACTCATCTCTAGCAGACTAGCAGTCTAGATTAATTATATCCAGTTCTACAGTAACTCCCTTTGATTTTAAGCCACAAAACCTTTAAAATTGGGATGAAATACGCCTTCTTCACATTATATAACAAAAGCTCAACAGCATATAGATATAACATATAAATCCCTCTGAAGACACTTACTCCACTTAATTCAGCTCATAGAAAAAAAAATCTTGAACACTGAGACGTGGTTTGTGTAAGAAGGTGAATTAATGTTATGCTGTTTCTTTCAGTATCAGGTTTCAGTGATTGGGAAAGTTCAAATAAAAAGGTGCCAGAGGCAGTTCAGAGAATTTATTGGCTTCCCTAAGTATCTCTATCTGATTTATGTAACTCACCTCTAACTGGTTCATATTACTGTACCACACTGACTACTTAAAGTGGTGGGAAAAAAACACCAGACCCTGAAAAACTATGACTGCTACCGGTCAAGACCTCAGAGAAAGACTATTGTGGCTATGCTACTATGCTATTTGCTCACATCAGTTAACACCTTTTTTCTCTGTGACAGAAAATCTGCTGTTACATCAACACTTAACTGTGTGGTTTGAAGTTCATCATTTCCTAAATTCAGTGGTATAAACCACAGATCAGAAGTCTGCCAGTAAGTCATTTGAGAAGTATGTCTTCCACTGAAATAAGACTTTATAAAAATAAACCATATATAGATATTTACTGTGGTGTTTTGAAAGCAAATACCATTTGTTTAGCAAGTACAAACAACCAAAATAAAACCAGAAGAACAGGTTCAACAAGGAAATGATGCATGAATAAAACAAAAGAGAAAACAAAAAAATAGGTAAGACAAACATCAACCTAAAGACTTGCAGTGATTTTCAAATCTGTCATAGAGTATCTGTAAATCATATGAACTATATACAAACAAAGTTATTTTAATCTGAGATAATAAAAACATAACATTTATTCTTGCAATACCTATATGAGCCATTTGAGGGCACCGCAGGAAAAATATTTTTGTTCTTAGAAACTGCTGATCTTGATACGATCTACATAGCATTGCAGTTTTTAGGATGGTTGCCTTACAAGAAAAAAGATTCCACAGTCAAATCCCTTTTTGTATTGAGTTTGAATGCAGTCCATGTCTATTGGTTAGTTTACCTCTTTTGGATTCCTCCTACCAAACCACAAACATGAGTATACCAGGGTATTTTCCAACATTTCCTTTAGTTGTTAGTGTGTGCATGCTTGGCTTCCTGACTTTCATCTCTGTTGTACTGTGACGAACTGGCAAACAACCATAGGCACACCCTGCAAATTAACTGCTGGAGATAGACAGCAGCTCCTATCGAAGGAATAGGTGGCTCTATGCATGCAACTGGATCTGCAGAGATATGAAAATATTTTTTGATTTTATTTAAAACATCAATGTTGTCTATGTTTGCATGAACACGGCTTGACAGGGCACCCAACAGCAAACTCTGGACAGCTCCATTCATCATCTTTTATTTGTTTGTTGGTTTTTAATACCTTACAGTTGAAAATAACCTCAACAATCAACAAAGTTACATAAATTAAATAAAAAAACCTGTTAAATAATATTTATACAAATTTTTAAACGCTTACATTAACTCAAAATTATAAAGGCACAGCAAATGCATCCGCATGTAAGATATATACATGCATGCAGCTTTTTAGAAGAAAATAAAAGAGTAAAATTAGACAAATTAATTTCCCATTGCTCTCGATAAGCAACAGAAAGTAAGTAAGACTTACCTCTGTGGTTACCAACATCAGATCAAACATACTGAAGCTAAACAAAATAAGTTCAGGTCACTCTACTCAAATCTCTCTACCTGAAAACAGGGGTTCAATTGACATTTTAACAAATTGTCAGCAGTGGAATGGATAAGTATGTCCAAACAGTGCTGTCAGTAATGAAGAAGGTAGGAATCGGAAGCAGGATGCCTCATATAGTTCATTTACTATAGCTTAGGGACCTCCAAAGGTTCCTATCCCTCGCTTAGGAGCTATAGAGCTGCCCACAATCCTTTGCATGACAGGACATACAAGCAGAAAAAATTAAATATTTCAACATGTACTCTGTGTGTCACATGCAAATATAACTTCAAATGTTTTGAATTTCATGAGGGCTTCAGCCAATTGCTGCATTTTTTGAACTTGTGTTCTTCATTTGGATTTTTTTTCAACTAGGATCCTCCATGTGCACTCCCTATAAAGATTTAGATAAGGTTGAAGGCTGTCAGGAATCAGCATATGATAGCATTTTTACTGTTGACCCTGGAAAAGGGGAATAAATAGGAGCCAGGAACAGGAGGCAGGAGGCACAATTTTCACAGTTCGGAATCAGTCAAGGTGGCATACCTTTGGTTTATGGTAGTTTAATTTGCACTCGTGTTTTAAAAAATCGAATTACAATCATTAACACCGAATTAACAATCCTGTTTTGTTTTGTTTATTTGTTAAAAATATAAAACATTGAACCATTTTCCAAACTATTAAAATTCAAACAATTTTAAGATATTAAAACGCAATTATTAAAATCCAAATTACATGACTTGTCTTATTGAAATAGTGTTAAACTGGTTTAATATGTTGAATACAGACTGAATCATATTACTCAACCTTACATTTGTAATTTGCATTTTTTATGGAACTATTAATCCAACAATCCACTACACTGATGCTGCTATCTTTTATTCCTTACCAATCACTATGCATCTGTGTTTTTGGCTGCAGAATATGATTCTGACACCTAAAAAGCTGCTGTATAGGTGTTGATACAGAAATAGCTGAACACCAACTAATGGCTGGTGAAGGCTCTCGTTTCACCAGAGACATAGGAACATGCTGCTCAATGGTTCCTTGCAATCAAGGTAATGAGGAAGAGTCCTATTCTCACATTCATTCAGATTACCAGGATTAATCAGATTTGGTAGAAAGTGATTTAGAGGACAGTAACAGTTGTTAGGCACAATGAGGGGTGGCAGACATCCAGAGCTGCAGATAAAAGCAGATGGATCAGTCTGCATGGGAAATAGAGATTGATATGTGTGCCTGTTCTAGCAATTTCAGTTCCTTAGTTTGGAAGTGGTTTCCTTCTGTTTGATAAAAATTGTTATACATTTGAGGGATA